CAGGAAGCGGATCGAAGGCTAATCTCGAAGTCATATACTCTGGTGTATGTGGACCAATTCAGGTGGATTCGATGGGAGGTAACAAATACTTTGTTACATTCATAGATAATTTCAATCGAAAGCTATGGACTTACCTGATCAAGAAGAAAAGTGAAGTGTTCGAAGTATTCACCAAGTTCAAGTCCATGGTCGAAAGACAAAGTGGTCGAAAGCTCAAAGTTTTGAGAACTGATGGTGGAGGAGAATATGTGTCGAAAGACTTCGACAGACTATGTGAAAAAGAAGGGATTGTGCATGAGGTGGTGCCACCCTATACTCCACAGCAAAATGGAATTGCAGAAAGGAAAAATCGAACCATCATGAACATGGTGAGAAGTATGTTGAAAGGCAAGAATTTACCTAAAGAGTTCTGGGGTGAAGCTGTTTCGACTGCAACATACATTTTGAACAGAAGCCCTACAAAGAAGCTAGAAGGAATTACTCCAGAAGAATGTTGGTCTGGTGTGAAGCCTAGCTTAAGTCATCTGAAAGTATTTGGATCTATTGCACATAGACATGTGCCAGATCAGTTGAGAAAGAAACTTGATGACAAGTCAAGTCAAATGATCCTAGTTGGATATCATTCGACAGGAGGCTACAAGTTGTTCGATCCAGAGAACAAGAAGATTTTGATCAACATGGATGTGATCATAGATGAGTTCAAAGAATGGGATTGGACTACAAATGTCAAGAAAGATTCAGTGGGAATCTTATTCGAAGAGCCAGAAACTCAAGTCGAAAGAGAAGTTCGACAAGAGGAGCCAACAGATATACCCAGTACAAGCAGACCTCAAAGAACAAGACGCATGCCTGCAAGATTGCAAGATTGTGTGATTACATCAGATGATGTGATAGATGATGAAGGTGAGCTGGCACATTATGCTTTCTATGCAGATGTCGAACCTGTTAATGCAGCTGAAGCATTAAAAGATTCGAAGTGGGTGAAAGCAATGAACGAAGAAGTAAAATCTATCGAAGACAACAACACTTGGTCACTTGTCGAATTGCCTCAAGGCAAGAAGGCAATTGATGTCAAGTGGGTATACAAAGTGAAGACGAATTCGAAAGGTGAAGTAACTCGACACAAAGCAAGACTTGTGGCGAAAGGATTTCTACAGAAAGAAGGAATAGACTTCGACGAAGTTTTTGCACTTGTGGCTAGGATCGAAACAATCAGGTTGGTTGTTGGTCTAGCATAAATCAACAGTTGGCACATATGTCAGATGGACGTGAAGTGTGTATTCCTAAATGGACCCTTAGATGAAGAAGTCTATGTTAAACAACCAGTTGGGTTTGTGAAGCATGACGAAGAAAGAAAGGTGTACAGGCTACATAAAGCCCTGTATGGTTTGAAACAAGCTCCAAGGGCTTGGAATAAGAAAATTGATAGTTTTCTAAGGGAGAAGGAATTTGTGAAGTGCATAACTGAATATGGAGTATATGTAAGAAGAAGCAAGAGTAAATTGCTTATACTATGTCTCTATGTAGATGATTTGTTGATAACAGGTAGCTGCAAGAGTGAGATCGAAGACTTCAAAGTTGACCTTAGCAAGGAATTTGAAATGTCTGATTTGGGTGAGATTTCATATTTCCTTGGTATCGAATTCTACAAGAGCAGTAGAGGTTTGATGATGCATCAAAGAAGATATGCAGGAGAAATTCTCAAAAGGTTTGAGATGGAAGAATGCAATGCAACTTCGACACCTGCAGAACCAAGACTGCAACTGTCGAAAGATGCTGATGAAGATAATGTTGATCCAACCCAATACAGAAGACTTATTGGATCATTGAGATACCTTTGTCATACAAGGCCTGACTTAGCATACAGTGTAGGTATGGTAAGTAGATTCATGCAGAAGCCAAAGGTATCACATCTAGCAGCTGTGAAGAGATACTAAGGTATCTCAAAGGAACTTTCGATTATGGCATTTTGTTTCCTGCAGTTGATAAAGGAAAAGAATGCAAGTTAGTGGGATACACTGATTCGAGTTGGTGTAGTGATGTTGAAGATCGAAAGTCAACAGCAGGATATGTGTTTATGCTAGGTGGTGCAATAATTGCTTGGAGTTCGAGAAAAGAATCAGTAGTGGCATTATTATCATGCGAAGCAGAATACATAGTTGCTTCTCTTTGTGCATGTCAAGCAACCTGGATGGTGAACTTGGTCGAAGAGATAACAGGGAAAAATCATGGAGCAATTACCATGAAGATAGACAGCATGTCAGCTATCAATCTGGCAAAGAACCCAATAACACATGGTCGAAGTAAGCACATCGAAATGAGGTTCCATTATCTTCGAGAGCAGGTAGCAGATGGGAAGATGAATTTGGAACACTGCAGAACTGAGAATCAGATTGCAGACATCATGACGAAGGGAGTGCAAGTCGAAGTATTCAGAAAGCTATGGGCCATGATGAACATAGACAGTTTAGACACAATGAATTAGGTGGTGTGTTAAATTGTAATTCATATGTGTCAAAAGAAGATTTGATTTGTTTAGATTTAAATAGATTTGAATTTAAATATAGATTAGATTTGATTTAGTAAAGAGATATTTTGGGCTTGGGTTTAGCTTAGGGAGCAAGCTAACCTAAATCTATAAATAGAGGGAGTAACCCTTATTTTTGTAATTAACTTATTCACAGTATTTTGCAAGGCAGAATAGAAATTCTGCAGAAATATCTTCATTGTTCTTTTCTTTGTTTGTTTCATAACTAGTCATCAAGTGGTGGTCGAAATTCATCATAGTGTATTGGTAGATTTCCAATATCTGGCCTATTTTAATTGTAGCATAGTGGTTTTTGGTGTTTTATTAGTGGTGTTGGAACACATACTACACAGTACAACAAAGTTCATGTTATACATGCAATAAAGCTGTTTTGGTTTTTAAAACAAACAGAGTAGATCGTTCTTGTACCTCACTCTTGAAAACATATAAGAGATGCAACCATTTTCACTAAAAACAAAAATATGAACCCTTTGTACGCAACTTTTTAACTGACACACACTCCCTCACATAATATTTTCAAGAAACATACCACACCTCACGCGTACCACCAAGAACCTCCAAGAACCTCATTCCACCACCCTCATACATACAATCATACCACACTAAGAGAAGTTAGTTTTTCTCAAAACCCTTCTTCTTCTTCTTCTTTCATTCTACCACCACCACATTGAGAGTTTTTCTAAAAGCAAAACTACCTTCTTCTTCTCTCATTCCAGCTACCACCGCGACGCATACTCAAGTTAGTAATGGAGAAGACTCACTCATCTTCAGCATGGGGAAAACTCATCTCACACTCTTCACAGGTATACACCAACTCCATGTCTACTTAACAACTTCCTAATCTACCTTCTGTTGAGATCATGGTTGATACTGTGGATGATTTTGTTGACCTTCTTGGTACCCCTTGATATAATCTTTTAGTGCACTCTTTTTGATATTTCAAACAAAAGTTTAGTTGATTTTTCCATCTTGGATACAGGTTATTTTATTGAAGATTATTTTTATTATTGAGAAAACTCATTGATTACAACTGCTTTTCTGCAACCAAATGAGCCTCATAATGCCTAGTTAGATGAGGTCATCTACACCATTCATACCCAACAGTGTTATTCTGTTGTATTTCTGCGACTTAGGGCTTTCCCAAGTTTTATTTTCTTCAATTTTGTCTCTACTTCAGCTGATACATGTTTTTCAAACTTCTTCTTGTCACTTTGTCTCATTTAATGCCATAGCTTCAATGATCTTCGTGATTCCAATGCATGTTGTAAAATTCAATGAAACATCGACTGTTGTATCTACAAGTTGCTTCATTTTCGACTGAAAAAAAAATACTTAAAAATTATAAATAATTGTCAGCCCTTGACAACAACTGAAAAAACTTGATTGCAACTTTCGAAAGTATACTAAATCGTTGCAACTTTAGAAAAAATTAAAGCTACCAAGAGGATATTTGCTAAGTTTTGTATTTGTCATAGCTAGTGCCTCTTTATTATTAGCAATAAAATGTTAAATGGTGGTTTGGCTTTTCAAAGTTGTGTGACTTTTGTTATTCATGAATGTAGAATCATCACATTGAATTGTCTGGAGAAAACTTCAAGGTTGACAGTGGTGGTATTTTGGCTAACTTTAGCTGTGTTGAGGTATGATAAGTTGTTAAGTACATATTTTCATTTTTCTTTCCAAAATAATTAGCGACAATATATCTATTACTTTCTTTATATAGGGTGGAGATTTACCATTCAGTTTGATGGAACTAAAAGAGGGTGTAGTAAACGTGAATGGAAAGAACTATGAAAAGACTACACATAAACTTCTGCTGGTTAGGGGAGGTGACGAATTGATATTTGGATCAGCTATCTACGTATCCTTTTTAGGTATATTGTTTCCTTTATATATTATTATTACAAATATGTTAAATTGAATCTTTATATATTATTATTACAAATATGTTCATTGAACCTTTATGCTGTCAATACTAGTTAATTGTTAACTGAAATGAATTCTCAATACTTGTTCATTGTTATGCCATATGAATATACATACATTGAGCTACTTTATCAAACTTGTATGAACTTTGCAGTCTTAACTAACTTGTAATTCAGACTTTTTACCTACAAACTGCAAGGAGCGTAAGTGCTAGTGCTATTCTAACAGATCAAGACTTAGCTCAAAAGGAAAGAGAAATGTTAGATGGAAATTTGGAAAACAAAATTGTTGATCCAAATGATATATATATATATATCATTTCAAGATTTCCCTTTCTTTTTAAGGTGATAACCATTTTTTTAATACTTAGTTAATGTTTTATTTGAATAGCTTATAATTTATTTTCTTTTAAAAGTTGTTAATTTATTATATTGTTAATAATAGTGATACTACAAAGAGTCTAATTATTGCATCGACTCGCATCCACCTTGATGCCAACTTCAAAGAAATCAGAAAATCTGCTCCTATGTTTACATCAGAGTCACAAAGGATCATACTGTCAGGCCCTGCTGGTAGTTTTTCTATCTCACTTGCTTACAATTTAATTCCTTAGAATACAATTGCATGACAATTAGTAACTAGATCTATAAAATTTGGCAAATTGCATGACAATTAGCAGCATAATATTCACCCAAAGATTGATGCTGAAAATGATTGTAAACTACTAGCCTATAAATATTCACCATAAGATTGATGCTGAAAATGATTGTAAACTACTAGCCTATGCCTACCTATTCTACTTCACTTGAATATTTATAGACTAGTTGCCCTTCATAGAAAAGCACCCCCTGCTTATGTGTAAATCATGGTTGTGAATTTGAGTTGACTCTCAGGGCTTACTTATCTTCATCAAATTCTCCTCTTTGTGAACCTCATCTTGCACGTGTTGCTTATCCATCCACATAGGTTAAGACACTAACCTGATCAGTTCTCTTTCATGTACACGAGACAACGCACGCATTTGTTCCACTGTTGAGCCTTCTAGCTTTGTACACAATTTAAAAATCAAAACCCAATGTTAGGCTGCCCAATTTTGTTTTTCCACTATTACATTTTTCTACTGCCACAATTGTCAGTTATTTAAGACTTTTTGATCCGTCGTCAACACAAAACACCTCTCTCATAAGTAGGGTTTCCAATGGTGGATGACTAGTACCACGACCATTAGTTCTCTCTGGTATGTAGACTTTGTCATATTTCTTACTCTCAAAGTCTTACTGAAATATGCCAATGATTACTTCCCTGGTGTGCACTAGTAGTTACTTGCAAGAAACATAGGTTATGCAAATTGATGCTAGGCTCTTGCAAACACACATACTATTTCATATCAATCAGAAAAGAAATACAAGGAACCATCTATATATTCAAGTAGCTTGTGTGTTAAGAAACAAACTTTTAACCACAAGCTAACTAAGTAATATAGTTCCTAGAATTATTACACAACATCCCTCCTAATTCTAAATGCCTATTAGTCCTAATTGATCTCTTAAGTATTCAAAGCTTTCAATTTTCTAGGTTTTTGTGAAGCCATATGCAAGCTGCTCCTTTATAGGACACTATGTAACTTCTATCATGCCTTTCATCACTTTCTCTCGTATAAAATGAAATCTAGCCTCAATATGCTTGCTTATTCCATATGACACTAGATTCTTAGCCAAACTTTTTGCAGATTTATTCTTAGCCAAATCATGATATTTGATGAAAAGCCACCATTTGCATTCATCTTGCTTATGTTTCATGAAACCTTTTGAGTCCCTCCTATCTCAATGTTTCCCAAGTTTCCCCCTCACCTAATTAACTCTTGATTCTCTATGAATCAACACCAACCCTTCAGTGTTGCAACTAGGCTTTAGATGCCAATTCTTAGCAAAACACAAGTAGTTACTTGCAATGCAAGTAACAGAAACATAGGTTATAGGCTCTTACAAATGTACACACTATATCATATCAATTAGAAAAGACATACAAGGACCTGTATATATGCAAGTAGCTTGTGTGTTAAGCAACAAACTTTTAACCATAAGCTAACTAACTAACCAATATAATTCTTAGAATTATTACTCGACAAGAATGGCTCCTACCCCTCCATCACTTTTTGAAAAGCAGATATATGCGTCATTTAAACTTGCCAAATTTCAATTTTTGTCATCTAGTTTTGGTAGGTGTTTAGGAAAACTTCATTTGGAACTTATCTTTTACACACTATCACTTGTGTTTCTTGCTTAAAATCAACACAATTTATGAGTACCAAATGTTAGAATAATAACCGTTTGCAAAAACACACATTTGTTAGTAGAAAAAGAGAAGAAATTTATTGCAATATTTAATTAGCATGCTTTGCAAAATAGTTAAACTTGTATTTACAAAGTTGAGCCCCCACATCGATTCCATAAAGCCCATTTCACATTGTAATTGACTAAAATCAGTATTAACTACATCTAAGCTACTAATAATAAAAATTGTGTCTTATTTTTAACCTAAGACTTAAAAGCTTTTAATTCTATATATAATATAATTCTTGTGTTGTTTCAGAAATTTATCAGGAAGCTTTGTCCAAGGCTATTGCCAAGCACTTTGATGCCAGACTACTAATTGTAGATTTACTTTCATTTTCTGCTGTATGTGTTCTCTAATATATTCTTTTTTGTTTTCTAGTGAAATTTTATTCTGTTTATTTCTATAAAAAAATTATTTATTAACTTTCCATTATTAGTTAAAGAGGTTAGTATTCCTTTATTGTTTTAACGGCTAATTTTTATTATCTGTTCTAATTATCCTACAAATGTTCTTTTTAGGGAACTGCTTTAAAGGAAGCCCCTTCTTCTAAAAGAATTTCAAAGCCTAAAATAGTAATAGGTATGTTCTGATTCCCAAAAAATAGGTAGTATTTGCTAATCATGGTAGTTCTTATCATATAATTTTTTTATTCTTTGTGATGCGATCCTTATGTAATTTTTCAGGTTGTAGAGTATCATATTGGGGTGGCAACAATCCTGGGTAATGCACTACACTCAACATTTAATTTTTAAGCATGATATTGATATAAAGCCATCTGTATATCCATTCATCTCAACTTTGTTAAAGCCATCTTTAGAAAGTATTTTAAATTAGTAGTTTATAGTATCCATAAAGTAAGTTTGAGTATGATAACAAGTGTTAGATCCAATTAATTAATAAATTAGTATAGATTAAGGAAAGATCTAGAAATAGATTGATATTATAAAAGAAATAATATTAAATGTATGTACTAGACAATTTCTCTATGCCATGCTGCCTTTATTAATTATTTAGGCCTAGCACTTGATTACTAGTTCAATGATCCTTTATCCCATGGCGTCTACTTTGATGGATTTTTTTGAACTATATTTCTTTTTGTTAGTGGAAATACATTATAATGATATGATGTAATAAGTCACTTTTAGAAAAAAAACTACCTATATTTGATTTTTGGTCAAATTTACCTTTTTCTCTTTCCAAATATTATATTATTTTTTGTTTAATGTGGGAAGAACATCTATTCCCTGTCTCCTATTTGTACAGTCCCTCTTTTCTTTCTAACTGGATCTGATTTCTCTGTCTATTATTATTTTTTCATTGATGTCTTGGAATTTAGATATTTATAATTTCTATTGAGGTTGTGAGGTGTACTAATATGTATGGACTAAAGAAATCATATAATCTGGTTACATACTAGTACAACTTTATAACTTCTTGTGCTAGACCTCTTGTGGAGAGTTAAAACTTGTTTCTATTCTTTTGTTGCATTTGGCAGGGAACCAATGGATGGCTCTAAGGGCATAATTCTCATATCTTTTCAAGATAATGAGTTTGCCAAAATTGGTGTGAAATTTGAGAAACCGTTTAAAAGAGGAATTGACCTTGGAGGTCTGTGCGAAGTCGGTTATGGTTATTTTTGTCGTGGTAATTTTCTATCTTTTAAACTTCTAGTTTGATTGCATATTGACTTAGTTTGACAGCTTATTGACTATTAGTTTGATGGTACAGCTGTAGTGTTGAGCATGATTGAAACTCCACGTGAAGGGGATGATTTTCACAAAAAAATCTTGAACAGAATATTTGAGGTGGTTGTGAATCCTAATTGATTTATTTTATAATAATAGTTACAAGTAATTATTTATATATATTCACTTTTTCTATATTGTTTTGCGTCTTTAGTTTGCTTTCGATCAAGGTGAAAAAGGTTCCCTTGTTGTCCTTGTTCAAAACATAGAGAAGGCTGTGGTGGGAGAATGTCGTGTTTTGAAAAATGCAATTGAAAGATTGCCCCCTAATATTGTGATAATGGCTTCCCACACCCAACTTTTTGAAGAGAAGGTATTATTTGGTTGATGTATTTTATTGTGATTTTAGAAAATATTTTAAAATCTAATTTTATTGTATTTTGTTATATTTTTACACCCAGCCTAGTAAAAAACAAGGGGATTCAAATTTGCTTTTAACTCAGGTAATACTGTGTTCTAATAAAATCCCATTTAAGGGTATCTTATTCATGTTAGAAATTCTATTCTCTATTACATTATAATAATGTTAGAATTTGCTTCTTCTTTTTTTTTTAATTATAAATTTAAGCTTGATAGGTATGTGGCTACTCAGTAATTAATAAGATTTGAGAGTTGTAAAATATTTGCCATAATGAGCTTAACTTGAAAATACAACATGAGACACATATACAAGGACTTGCAGCCACCAACTATAACTAACTACTTGCACTAAAATAGAAAAGGTGGTTAGAGATAGTTATAGAAAAATAACTGAATAAGATAACTTAATAGTAATGATTGCTCTATTATACTAGTACTAGTTTATATGTTAGTCTCTCATGGACCAATTCTTTGAAAAGAATGCTGAGTTGTTAGTTTAATTCTTTTATAAGTTAATTATCATTATAATAATGTTGCTTTGTTTAGGAGAAACCGAGTAGACAGCCTGAAGGAAGCAATAATTCCACTTCATTTATGAATCAAATTGGCGGTCTTTTCCCCATTAAGTTGATAATACAGCTTCCTAAGGTAAAGTATATTTTAAAATAAAACTTGTTGCTACTGTTATTTGACATCTGATCTTACTTTTTGAACATTTGCAGGATCATTTGTCACTATCTCGTTGGAAGGAGCAGTTGGAGCATCATGTTCAAAGTGCAAATGCTGAGTTAAATGCTGTTATCATTCGCTCAGTGAGTTCTTCTCTCTTTTTAAGCTTTTTTTAATCATTTCTTATACTATTGAATAATACTTTTACTTCTTTTTTTGCTTCTCCTCTAACTATGATTATCAATGATTTTTCTTCTTGGATCGGACAACCAAGTCCAATTGTGTGGCAAATTTCATTTGAATCCATATAACAGACAATTTAAATCCCACATTTAAATGATTTTGGCCGTTGAATATAGTATAAGAAAATTGTATTTTTATACTTGCTAAGGATGATTGTTAAATATATCTAATTTTTAGTTTCATGTGAAAAAATACATTTACAAACTTATATATCGCTTAATATGACTGTTAGCTGTTCATAACAATAAACATGAATAAATTAGCTGACTATTTATATTTGAGTTAAAAATGTGTTTTGTTTTGCTTATAATTGAGTTTGATTTCAGGTTATAGACGAAAATGCTATGGATTGCCTAGACTTCAAGACTCTTTGTTTTAACGATCAAGCACTAACCCGAGAGAGTATGTTTATATCTTTGAAATTTAAACAACTTGATTATCAAACTACTTATTTGAAAATTGAAATTTGTTATCTATTTTATTGATATATCGTGTTTAATTTTTTTGTGATAGACGCACACAAAATTATTAGTTGGGCTTTAAGTTACCCCGGTAATACCGTTAAAGACTCTAACATAGTTTTGTCTTAGGAAAGGTTAACCTCTATTTTCTTGCATTTCAATTACTTAATTTAAGCACTAAAATGAAATGAAATTAGAAATTGTATTTATTAACAAAATTTTATGTCACTAATGCAGCATTAGGTATGGACACAACATTTTAAGGAAATATCAAAATTCAGAAAAGAACTTAAATAATTCAGTAAAGGTAAAAAGCACTACCCTTTTCAATTACTTTTATCAGGTTGGAATTGATATATTAATGCTTTAACTCTTTTATGTATTATGTATTTCTTTAGGATGTTTTTCTTGACGGTGAGTTTGAGGAGAAGTTGATGGCGGATGTTATTTCTCCGAGTGATATTGGAATCACTTTTAACGATATTGGAGCGTTACAAAGTGTGAAAGATACACTAAGGGAATTGATCATGCTTCCTCTTCAGAGGCCGGAGTTGTTCAGCAAAGGGCAACTTGCTAAGGTAGTAATATATTTGCGAATTTAGCCATGCAATTTTGAGTTGTTTAGACTGTGTTGTATTTGTGAAATATATTTTTAGTATGTAATTATTTTGAATTTAGCCGTGCAAGGGAATATTACTTTTTGGTCCTCCTGGCACCGGGAAAACAATGCTAGCAAAGGCGGTAGCAACTGAAGCTGGGGCAAATTTTCTCAATATTTCATTGTCCACCATTACTTCCAAGGTAGTAATTATGATTAATAATCTTTTTTTTTGTTGTTCAAGTGCTTTTAGTTATTGATTCAACTCATACTTGCTTGTTGCAGTGGTTTGGTGAAGCTGAGAAATATGTTAAAGCAATATTTTCTTTAGCTCACAAAATTGCACCAACCGTTATTTTTGTTGATGAGGTTGGTAATTTCCTACCTTTTGACCTCCGTTTCTACAAAAGAAACATCCTCGCCAGATTCGGAATTCTGCGGGCCCTGGTGACCGACAACGGTACCCAGTTCACCGACCACGGGTTCCAGGACTTCGTCACCAAACTAGGGACAAAACAACATTTCACGTCAGTCGAACACCCTCAGACCAACGGGCAAGCCGAAGTCGCGAACAGAGTCATCCTCCGAGGGCTCAAACGTCAACTCGGCGAAGCCAAGAGAGGATGGGTCGAGGAGCTCCACAACGTCTTGTGGGCATACCGCACCACACCCCACTCAACGACGGGTGAGACACCATTTCGACTGACATATGGCACCGAAGCTGTCATCCCGGTCGAAATCATGGAACCATCCCGACGAACAGAGAACCCCCTCGACAAAGAAATGAACAACGAGGCACTAAGGGACGAACTCGACCTAGTCGAGGAAATCCAATCGGGTGCAGCCCTGCGCGAAGCCACCCTAAAACAACGAGTGGCTCTACGCCACAACGACAAGGTCATCAAGCGCGAGTTTGAAATCGGCAGCCTGGTATTACGTAGGAACCAGAAGGATTCCCGCGAAGGGAAACTAGCCGCGAACTGGGAAGGACCTTATCGCGTCCATGGCACCACTGGTACCGGGGCGTACTACCTCGAGCAATTAGACGGAGAGCCATTACCACGACCCTGGAACGCTGCTAAGCTAAAGCAGTACTACAGTTAAAAACTACCAACACCTGGGACCCTCGACCAACGGCACCCGCGCTCGGTCAACGAGGAAAAACGTCTGACTTCGTATAAAGGCTAAGGTACAAGCCCGACATACGACCAAATCGCACAACATCGCTCGGCAAACGAGGACAATCGATAGTGCTCGACGTGGACAGCTACACCGAGCACCACCGTCGTTGTACCCGTAAGGCAGAACACTCAGCTCGCGATGGGCAGTTCACACCAAGGGCGAATAGTCCCTACCGGGCTTCGCGCCCGACTGAGCAACTTCGCTCCACATACCCGACAAATCGTCAAGAATGACGGGCCATCTAAAAGGGTCAAAGGGAAGTCTCTCCCCTCGAGCGCAACACTTAGGTGACCCTGGCCAGTGAAAGAGCGCCGGGCACATATACAAACGGAAGACGGGAAGACTCGCTCGCTAAATCACAGCCACTTACGGGCACTCCTCGGGCCCATGACTTAGGCTAAAATTTTATGCAAATATATGATTTCAAGCACGGGCAAAACATTCAAATGTAAAACAACATTCATTCAAATAAAAATGCCCGAAGGCAACAAAGCAAACAATTATAAAACCGACCAAGAAGGCCGACGATGTTCATAACGTACAACCGACAGGCACGCAGGCCCAAAAAGTACAAATATCAAAGGCACGCATGCCCGCTATCCTACAGTCAGGCTTCCCCAGAACTATCATTATCGACACCTGGAGAGTCGGGCGGGGGCACGATCACGCCATCCACGATCTGATGTGTGTGGCCTATACCCTCAGTGACCAGACCAGGGTTTAACAAGGAAAGCTGGCCGACTGCGGAGTCGAACCCCTCCTCCAGAGCACCAACGCAATCTGCCTCGAGCAGCCGGATATGAGCGACCAGCTCCGATCGACTCTTCAAAGCCGTTATGTCTTCCGGCTCGTCCTCGGCAGGCAGCATGGCAACATTCATTTCCTCGATCTGCTGGGCCAGCGCCCGACTTCGGTCTCCAGACGATCCCTGTCTGCGCGGAGAAGCTCCCCCTCCTCGGCCAGCTTCCCCGACCTTTCTTTCTCCAGGACCAACATCTCCCTCTCAGCATCCAGCATCGCTGTATGCTCGCGGAACATCTCCTCGGAGCGTTCCAGGGCAGTCTTCAACTTCCGCGAGCTCGAGGTGAGAGCCGCTTTCTCCTGCTCAAGTTCTTCGATACGGACAGGATCCCCCCCTTCCTCGGACAACACCAGGGCCATCTCGGCCATTTTCACCAGCCTGTCCATGCTGGCGGCCAGATGCCTCTTCCGATCCTCCTTGCTCATCCTTTTGATAGCCTCAGCCTCGTCAGCAACCACTGACAGAGGGAATCTCTCGAAGAAACCCTCCTTTTTGAAACAAGGGGGGAACCCGAAAGACCTGACAGCGCTGGCGTCCTCGCTGATAGCCGGACCACTTTCCACCCGGGTCCTCTTCCTTTGTATCAGGGCGGCATTAGGATCGACCTCTTCAACCTCTGGGGTCCCGTCCGACGCGGCCCCCGAGCTGGGCGATGAATCCACCCTCACCGGCTGAGGAGCACTCAGACTGTGTGGCGGGCCCATCCTCATCGCCTGGGGAGCCTTCACGACCCTCCTGCCTCGCTTCTGGTCGCAAGATAACTTCAAAAGCCTTTCCCGCCGACCGGCCATCGAACCTGCACAAAATAAAAGACGGGTTAGTATCGAGCAAGTTCATAAATAAATGACGAGCAAAGAAATTCAAGCGATAAACAACCTAGCAGACGAGCAGCCTGCCTGTACGTCTGACACTCCACGAGTGCCTTAGTATCAATCGGCCGGGACTCAAATGTCGGATAACCCTCTACATCCAAGACATCGTCCCCTTCCCTCGTGGCCCACTGGGCAGGGTGGAAGCTGTCGACGAACCGACAAAGTGTGGCGTACGCCTCCTCGTCCTCCGAGCACATGTCCCCGACAGCAGTATGGTAGTATCCAGTCCCGTGCTCGTAGTGCCTGAACATCCAGTGCACAGGGAACTTGGCCGTACGGGCCATCACGGGATTCCCATCGTCGCCCAAAACCGCCTCCCCGTCATCATCGCTTATGGGCGCCTCCTCCTCGTACAGGGATCCCAAAGCAGAGGTGGTAACTGGCCGCACAACGTACCACTTGTCTTTAAAACCCCTTACGGAGTCCATATACATTTTGAAGAGTCTCCTCGACTGCTTTAAGGAGACCCAGCTGTGTTTCCCTCCTCGGGACTGGCACTACAGATGAAAAATCTTGAAGAAGAGCGGTATGGTCGCCCCGATCCTCAGAAAGCGACACGTCAGCTCAAACGCCCGGATAAAGGCGAGTGAGTTCGGATGTAGCTGAGACGGGGCCAACTCCAGATGGGTGAAGACCCCGACCTGAAAGTCACTAAAGGGCAGCTGCAGTCCAAGATCTTTAAACGCGATCTCGTACATCGGGAAGCTGTACTCTGGGTACACCGAGCAGACCCATGCACGGGAGGTCGGGCGCATGACAACGAAATTCTTCTGGAAGTCAGGCTGGTCCTGGCCCGCTTCGAGGATAGCATACGGATTTCGGTCACGCCGGCTATATATCGACGCGATCCCTCGGGGCTCGGCGCCCACCCAATCCAGCAAAGGGTCATCGACAGTATCAATCAAGCTGACTGACTCATCGGCACTTTGTTCTTCATGTTCGTGGCGCCCAGAGGAGCACGGCTCGTCCGCCATGGTTACCTGCAGAGCACGGGAAACCAGTCAATTGGGCACGAAGCCATACACTCGACAAACCACGTCGTCCCATGCACGACCACAAAAGTCAGTTTACACGAGTAGTCGCCTCCCCGACATCCAGAAAACTCGATGTGTTCTTCTCCAAACCGACTACGCGGCCACTCTCCAACATGTCGACCCAAAGTATGAACATGGCGAGCAACATCATGAGACCTACGGCCAGGACCATGAACATACCAGGCGCGATCATGAATCAGGCGCCCTGGATCATGAAGACCCCGGGCAGCGCTGCTGATTATCACCTAAAACTATGAATATACCGGCCACAAGCATGCGTTTGCCGATCCTAAGCATGAATATGTCGAGCTAAGTATGAGTTTACCGGGCTAGTCCCACGCGCACAGTCCCTAAAACATCTACAAACGCTGAAAATCATGCATTACAATAGGAAAATGAAGAAGATAAACCACTTACTTGAATCAAAAAGTAGGATTCGGCTACGGAGTAAAAGAATCTGCAACAGAAGATCGCGGCTGGGAAAAATCTGGAAGAATAGCAGTAGAGGGAGCACAAAGTGTAAAAACGTGTTATGGGGCCCAAGGTTCATATTTATAGTGATGACATGGAATACCAAATGTCACCTCGGGCAACCACGGAGTTTCTCTCCCCGACGCGCTGCTCCCAACGCAATGATGACCCTATCACCATAGGGTGGCGACACAGTTCCCGAAAGATACCTCGTGCGCTCGACAGACACGCGCCAGTGAGGATCCTCCGGGCATCCACCGCGGAAGATGTCCCCGAGCACGGGCCCGGAGAGGCCCTCGAGGGTCTACATCTCGGTCCCGGGCGCGAGACCCTGATGTGGAAACGACCTGAGTTCAAGCCATGACTCCTCACAAAGGAACCACGACTTGGGGGGCTCCTGTTCTGGACTGGGCCCGACAGGCCCAAAAGCATTGCTAAGGCCCAATCCAAATGGGCTTACTGAGGACCACGCCGACCAAAGGGTCACAGTCGTGCCCGACGTGCTCTCACGTGCTCGACAGCTACACCTCCAACTCGACATACTGCTGTCCAGCTCCACATCCTGCTGTCCAGCTCGACATCCTACTGTCCAGCTCGACATTACCTCGAGCACCCCAACTAGGGCAGACTCAGTCCACTGCTCTCCCAACGAGACCCCGAAAATACCGCATCTCCGTCCGCCCGCACTTCACGCAGAACATCCAGGAAGGGGACCACATGCGGGTCCCCACTACGCACGTAGAACCTGGCAGTTCCTCCATCGGGCCAAACCTGCCCCGCCCAATGAAGGAACCTTGGCCCAGCGCTGGGGGTTATAAATACCCTCTGTTTCCAGAGGGTCAGGTATTCATCATTCTAACCATACACTTGCTATTACCTGCTCGTACTTCTACTTACTTCAGCATCGGAGTGCCTTGCAGGTACCCCCCCCCCCACTTCGTTCAAAAAGCTTTCTGCTTGGAGCCAGCCGTGACGGTCCATCTCTGATCAGGTCAGATCAGTAGTGGTGTTC